TGTTGTTGTTTTATTATTGTTGTTGTTGTATTATTTTTATTTATAATTTGTACAATTAACCTCCCTGTGGTTCGACCCCGGTCTTGCCGGGTTATTTATTACTTTGACACTCCTGCACTTGGGAGAAGACATCAATCTTTTAGTCGTGTCAAGTAATCTAAGTTATTCTACCCAACTTGAGACATGATGGGGGTCGACTACTAGGTCAGGCATTAAAAATATGATAATAAAAAATAAGTATCAAATACGATATGAAAATTCAGAAGAAAAAAAGAAGTAAAATCAAATTATTAGGGATTAAATTGAAAAATAAAATCTAATAAAAAAATTAAAGTAAAATAAATAGGAATCAAAAGAACAATAATCAAATTTGATTTAAAAAAACATAAAAGACCAAATGTCAATAGATGAAATAAAAAATAAAAAAATAAAATTGACACAGTAAAACACTGAAGAATTTTAGTTTTATTGCAGTAAGAGGAAAAGAAGAATCTCCTTGGCAACCATCTAGGTGGTGATCAAGTGGTAAAGACTTGGGATCAAGGGGTTTGCTCCCTCTGTGGTCTCAGGTTCGAGTCCTTGGTTGCTCATATGATGGCCACTGGAGGCTTACATGGTCGTTAACTTCAGGGCCCGTGGGATTAATCGTGGTGCGCACAAGGTGGCCCGGACACCCACGTTAATCTAAAAAAAAAAAAAAAATCTCCCTGGCGTGTTGTCAAATTAGAAATATTTTACCTCCGTGAGCAGAAATAATGACCTCGCAGCATTACTATGTTAGCTTCATGCTCATTAACCTGCGAGCCAAAACAATGCAATTACCGAAACAGATTGTCTTTATATTGATGAGTAATGCCCCCATTACCATGTCCTTTTCTTTGCCTTTTGGAACTGCTCCATCACTGTTGCTTTCCCGTGTTACAGTTCCACAGGCAGGCAATCACCTTTTCGGTACACGTCCATCTCCGATCCCACGAAATGCGAGGGAAAAAACTAAACCTTGTGCATCAGAATAATTGTCAGCAAGACAATCTCAATCGACTTTAACGAAGAAAGAAGACCATGCCAATACGGTAAAGGCTAATAATGTGGTAAGGGTATTTTATCTTTTGAGTGAATAACATGAGTTAGGAAAGTAGTTTGAAAATAATATAGGTTAAACACAAATGTGATTCTGAATATTAATTTTGTAATAAAATTATTGAAAATAACGGTTGTTTATGTAGAAATCAAAAATGAAATTAATTAACATGTACAAAAGATAACATAAAATTCTATAAAGATGGTTGTCAAGATAACTTGATGTAACATGAAAAGTAAAATGAAAAAGAAAAGGTAGGGGAAAAAATGAGTTACTGGAAATGCATTGGAGTTCTGTTTTTTCACATTTAGTATTGTTAAAAAAATCTCAATGAGACTATTCTAACCATATCATAAAAAAAATCATTAAAAAAGTTATAATTAATTAGTAATTTTGTTTAAGATTAATCAAAAATTAAAATACCTTAACCCAAAATTAACCTCAAACAAGACCACTAACCACCTTCAACTTTGTTTCGTAATCTTTTATGGTATGGTAAGAATTATCCCATCGACATTAAAAGTATAAAAAGCAAAACAATAGGGTTTTACTCGTGACTCATTCTTTCTTTCCTTGCTTCTCTCTCATTCCACCTCACCTTATTTTCCTATCATTTCTCCCCTTCCTATTTCTTCCCTTGTTCCACCTCATCTTATCTCTATTTTTATTTCTTGATCATTGAGTTTTAATTCTTGTATCTAACCATTAGATCTTTATAAATTTGTGTTGATTTTTGTACATGTTAATTAATTTGTATAAAACATGAATGAATATTTGATTTACGAGTAAATACAAAACCTCATATAACAACAGATGTTACAAAATCAGTAATAACAATCATATTAAAACTGAATTATTTTCTAAATATTTTTCTATCATGAGTAATTTTTCCAAAACTTTAATCATACTGTCATTTTTGGACCTTTTCTTCTCAAGATTCCAGACCTCCTTTCCTGATTTCAAATCTTTATGGTCCCCACACCAGTTCTCTTCTGCCTGGTCAATCACCAAACCTTGGCATAAATGCATTCAAAATATTCAGCCTTAAGTAATCAAAGAATGTAACTCTCAGGGACATTGCCTACAATTCTATGTTAACCACTCATCATATTTACACATCAGCATCACATTACATAAATCAAATTAAATTGGACCCTATCAACTACCAATAACCTTAAATGTCACTGCGAACCACCTTACGTGCAACTAGATGATAGGTCTGCCGATGAATGATGTTCAAATATGGCAGGTCCCAGCCAAATTAACTTCAGAAACTGTACGCCTAATATGAACCCTATCTCCCCTTTCCACAGTCCTGTCTTCTTACATCCTTGCCAAACTCATCAAGGCAAAGTGGCGCTCAGACATCCACGTATGATAAGAACAGTTCTACCTTCGTCAAAAAATCCCACCTGCAATGAATTCCTCGCCACCAATAATTCATTGATCCACGAAATGCCGGCAGATGCCTTCAATTGCCGGTTCCCCACCAAGAATTAGCCTCCCTCTACTTGTATAATGCAAGACCCCAAAATCCTCAGGGAGACAATCAACTGTTTTCTAGTCCTGCTATCCAGATCTCATGGCTTGGGATTTGAGCATGAAAGAAATGATACAAGATTACACTGTAAAATGAGGCAGCAATGATAGAAGCAGAGCAAATTGCAGAACGCCTTTAAATTGGCCACAGCCATCATTTGCACCATCCAGATTTGAGACCCGGATGGCAGTTGGAGCAACCGGTCCTTGACGAACACATCAAATAGATGGGCTTCTGTCGAAAACGACTCTAGTACTTCAGCTCAGAAAGGTGGCTGGGGCATGTGCTTAAGATTGATGGCACATTCCTACCACAAACCGGGGAGGACTTCTGGGCATTCCCACTTGAGGAGTTGTCACACTGCTGTGGCTGTGTAACAGGAACAGATGAATTAGCGTTGGCATTCTTTGAAGTTGTTATTGAGTTGCCACCACTAGATGGAGAATGGTTACTAGAGGATATTTGTTGCCCTTGTGGTGGCAAAGCAGACTTGGAACTTTGCCCAAATGATATTTGGCTACGGCCTTGTGGTGCTCTTCCTTGCTGCTGGGAAGCATTCTTATGAACTGTGTTGGATGTTGAGAGAGATGCAAGTGGGGATTGAGTGGAAGGGGTTCTGGACGAGTTCTTCCACTGGGGATTTTGTGGAGTACTTGCCTGAGCTTGAGTTTGAGAAAAAATGGGAGTATTATTTGAAAACTTGGCATCAAAGGAGGGCGAAGGCAGGCTGCTGGATGTTGGTGCTTTAATTTCGGCTGCACCAAAAGGCTGCTGCAAAATATGATGCTTCTGAAGGTGAACTAGCTGTTGTTGCTGAGAAGTTGTGCTTGAGTTAGCAGCCATTTGAATGCTTGTAGGTCCGGTGATGGAGCGAGAAGGCCAGTGCCCAGTGAAAGGAGATGGCACAAAGTCGAGAGTTCTAGCTGAATTATCGAAAATAAGTGCCTTCCCAATACTTGTAGATGGCCTTCCCATTGTAGCTTTTTTTACATCGTCAGGATTGGTTGAACTGCCTCCAGTCTTCCCTTCAGACAGCTGGTGGTTCTTCTTTTGTGTCGCCTGAGCTGCTGATACAACCTGGTACCCCTGCCATGTCATGTCTGGGAAGCTTTGTAAGATGGTAGGATTTTGTGCCATAGCTGAGAAATTAAGGTTTGAAGCTGTCTTGCTTCCATTGAAAGAGGCGAATGACATTGCAAATGCTTGAGAGGGGATAAGCTCTACTCCACCCTTTAAATTCTTTTCCTGTGACAATTGTTGCTGCTGCTGCTGCTTTTCACCATGATTTCCACCGCCACCAACATTTGTAGAAGCCACTAAACCAAAGTTTGGCTGAAGAGGAATCATGAAATTAGGGCCATTAACACTCTTTTTCGAGTGAGAGGCTTGGGTATCAGCAATTATTGGGGTGCTCTCCCCCCCACTCATCCCAGAGTCAAGCTTCCGAGTGTGATGGGAAGGTATACTAGTCCTTGGCGCCTGCTGTGACTGCATCATTGTCGAGGTCAAAAAGTTATTGGTGCTAACATGTGCCCCCCGTTGCTGACTTTGGGGTTGCTTGTGAGATGATGATGAGCCACTTGAAGTACTTGCATTCTGATGTCCTGGTTGGACTACAGGTTGAGGTTGTTGCTGCTGAAGCTGGGATGGATGTAACATCTGAGATGAGTAGAAAGACCCGTTAAAGAAAGACAATGCTTGAGCAGCGGTTCCACCTCTGAATGTTGGGTTTCCAACAGGAGTGGAGATGGGATATGGATAACCATTGTTTGGTAGAATTGTCAAGTATGGAGCTTCATTGGCTGCCAAATTTGGGTAACCAAAGCTCACAGCTGCAGCCATCCCAGGCAATGCTGAAGAGTTTGTCGTTACTCCAGCTACAGCACTGCCAGACAATGATTCATTGTTGATTGGGGAAGCAGATTTAGAAGGCCCAGTTTGACTTGTCATTGCTGCTATGGACGCTTGATGCTGATTGAGGGAGAAGATGAAAGCAGGGCCATGCTACAATTTAAAACAAAAGGCATCAACAACTTTACGACAACAAAACTTTTTGACAATCTTAGCAAGGATCTACATAATAAACCAAATAAATTAAACTGCGTGGCATGGAGAAAGAGCATACCATTAAATTACCAGCTGGGGCTGGCTGTGGAGGCTGATGGAGCACAAGCTGCTTCTTCTGTGCTGCTGTATCTATCAAGGTGGCACTCTCAGAGCCTCTATCATTTCGAGTAAAATCTGGAAAGTTTGGCACCGCCTGCACTTTGTCCTGGGCAGAATTTAGATTCACAACTGGAAAGCTACCTTGCGATGGGTGTCTGATTATCATGTTTTCCGCAGAAGGCATTGCATTGAGGCTCTTGGGTTTGGCTCCACATAGAGTAGCAGAGCCAGCTGTGGACGGCCAGAAATGGTTCATCTGTGTAAATTGCTGTTGCAAGCGAATGTTGCAAGCGATATAATGATGGGTTGCACATCTCTTTGGCCGAGATTGAGGGATAAACTGTGGAGGCTGAACATTTTTCGATAATTCAAAATGAAAGTCCAAGTTAAACGGCAAGGTTGAGGCTTTGGAAAAAGGAACTGGTATATGATACCTGTAATGCCTTGGATGACCTGGTTGTCCCATCCATGGGCACAACTGTCTGAAAGGAAGTCGTGTATCTGCAAATAAGCATGGGTTACGTTCTAATTATAAATCAATTCTTTAAGCAAGGAATATAAAAAGCAAAGATTGATAAGAAAATGAAGGTCTAGATATCGCACCCCAGAGGCAAGAGATTGCTGCTTTGCCAGCTAGGTATGGCAATTGGCAAAGGCAACGAACCAGATTGAGCTGATAAAAGTAGAGGAAGAAATCGTCAATAATCTCAAGGGGTCAAAAACGTAAGGTATATGACAACTCTTAAAGTCATCACGCTGAACACCAAGCTGAAGCTTTGAATTACCAGCTGTCTCCACTTTAGGAACAGTAGCTTTAGGTTGCAGTTTCTGCTGCACATTGCGCTCCGGCTTCTCAAAATCAAGTTTTAATCCACGCTTTTCTCTAACTGTCTTCGTCACCTTATCTTCAAAGAGAACCCCTTCCTTCTTCACCGGACTGTCCACCAATTCTTTATTCTTAACCATATTTTCCATTTTCTGCAGCATAACAATAACATAGAATTGATTGGCTAAGTTCCAAGAAAAAAAAAATACCACAAAATGTCAAATAGTCAAATCCAAGTTTTGACTAAAATAGCGGAGGTGAATTAGCAACAACTATATGCTCACCATTTCCACATCTTGGGCTGCGGGCTTAGGATTCGAAGACAAATCAACAAAGCCATCCCATTCTGGAGAAGACACCATGGGAGGAGGAACCTGTTGGAAAGCCATAACTCGACTTGAGAAATCGCAACAGCAAAAATACGAAGGGAAATGTAATCGGATAGCAACAAGAGAGATCCTCACCATCAGATCGATCTCGAACTTCTCCTCTCGCTGGCTGTCGACCTTTGACACAGTTGAGGTCCTTAAGAAACCCACCAGATACAGTAAGGAAAAAGATGAGAAAATGGGATATCTAATCATATATCTGAAATGATTAAAAAAAAATTGAGATATCTAATTATACTCACGATTTTTTCAAAACAGAATCACGGAAATCAACATCCAATTTTTTGCTCACAGGTGATTTCTCTTCTGGCAATACAGATTTTTCCTTAGTCGATACCCCAGATTCTTCAATTGCCGGTTTTGAATCCTGTTGTGTCATTACTTCCTCCTGTGACTCCAACCCAGACGCAAGTTTAGAAGCAACCATGTCATGTGAAACCTCACATGATTCTGAGTACAATGATGGTTTCCCCGATTTCATTGCAGAAAATTCCATTTTTGCATCCTCCCTTTCACCTGTAAATGCAGAAGCGATTAAACTATTATGAACCATAACTGAATCAGCATCCATCTTTTGCTTCTTCGATGCCGCAATTGTCATTAGAAATGAAATCAAAACACAAATATCATTAAACATCCATCATCGAAATCTGAACTGAAAGCTAAATAGACTCACCTAAACCAATTAAAGTATCCGAAGCAGAGGGATTATTTGGACTCAATATCGATGTCCGAGAAAAGTTTGAATTCGGAGATGATTTAGAATCATGAACGATTCCATTAGAATCCATTGAATCAATCTTCCGCGAACCATTGTCAGCCTTCTCCTCGTTCTTAGGCCCGTGTGGTTGCTTCTTTAAACCATACAAAACTTCTGCGATCTCAATCTCAAAATCTTCCTGAACTGAATTTGTAGAAGATTTCGACACTTTTGGAAGCGGAGTCTTGGGTCCACTTGATTTCTGAGAATAAACACACAAAAAAAACAATCGCCATCCTTAAAATGTAGTCTAAAAATTAGAAAAATAAAACATCAACATAAGAAAAATACAAACCGTCTTTTTTATGACCGAAACAATCGACGAAGAAGGCGATGCAGCCTCGAAGCTCCTGCTCGCCGCCGGTGAAGTCGAAGCTAGCCTGTCTTCACAACCAAACCCACCATTTCCTGATACCCAACTCTCATGTGACCTCTTCACAGAAGCTTCAAAGCCAAAAATCACTATTAATTCAACCAAAAAAAATCCAAACAAAACACAACTACTCCATCTACAAACTCTTTTACCTGACCGGGCCTTTCTAGGTACAGAGACACCAATCATTTCGTCAGCAGCGAATCTAGATCCGGGAACTTGTTTTACAGCTCCCAGCGGCGGCCGCAACCGAGAAACCTCTCCGTCTTCAATTTCATAACCATCTTCGTAACCGATGCTTTCTTCTGTAGTCTCTTCTCCTTCTTCCTTATTACTTCCTTGTACCGACCTATCTCCCCCACCTCCTCCTCCTCCTCTTCTACTACGCTTATTCCTACTCAACAATTCTCGATCTCTTTCCCTCTTACTCCCTCCTCTATCTCTCAGCCTCGCCGATTCTTGTGCCACTATTTGTCCATCCTCTGCAAGAAAAAGAGACAGAGAGAGACTATTTGAGTTAGTTACATAAACAGCTAACTCGGATATATATTGGAGAAACTTTTAAGTTATTTACCAGTAGAATCTCTTGTAGTTCTCTGCTGTCTCCGTCTTGATAATCCGTTAGAGGCTGCCATGTTTGATGATGATCTCCTTCCTTCTCTATTTATATCCATAAATTTTGACCACCTCTTCCTAGCACTCAATATCTAGCAGCTACCGGAAATTCACCATAATCGGCGGCGACAAAAAGAAGGAAAAATTTAAGATTTCTACAAATGTATGTTATCCGGAAGAGAAACAAACAAGGAGCCCCTTATCAGAAAATGAATTAATGCTCTCTCTCTCTCAAAGTTTCCCTGTTTCTCTTCTCTTCTGCGGCTTTGGCTGACTGACCTTCTCTCGTTTTTTACTTTCACCTGGTTGTTCTTTTTTGGGCACTTGTATAAATCTCATCCCTTTTTTCTTCTTTTATTAGCGAACATTATCATGTACATTCACTCAGCGCGTAGCCTACCCCATTCCAATTATGGACGGTTCAGATTAATCACTTTCTTCTTCGGGTTAGTCATTACCTTTGGATTGACATTAATCGGACGGCATGCGATGACAAGAGCCAACATGGCAGAACTGTCCCTATCTCTGTAGAATTTAGGAGCCACTGCATCAAATGAATGGCCACGTGTTATTTTATATACATTTTGCATTTAATTCACGATCAGCATCTTCTCTCACGCACACGCGCCTTATCCACGTGAAGCGCACTCTTTTTAAGCTCAGGTTGCTGCATGTGATTAAGTGGACTCTACTGATTGGTGCACTTGTCGAGTGCTTATTCGTGAGAAACCCCGAAAACAAATATCTTTTTTGTGGACTGCAGTCGGTTACCCGTGGAAAATTTAGAGCATGAACGTAAAGTCCACAAAAGGAGGATATAATAATCACGTGGGGCTATGGTCCCGAAACAACCTCTCCAGCCGGTCAAAATCAGCAAGGCCCGCTTCACAACTAAAGTGCTTTAGCGGGACCCGCAATTGAGTTGGCGAATAAGATTGCTTGTTTTGCTGGTAGAAGCCACAACTACCATTGAATAAGAATCCGACGTGGACATATCTTAATTTTGACGGACTCGATTACAAAAGCAAGTCTGACCTGGCACCTCACAACCACCTACCTCGTGCTTCACAGAGAAGCCGAGACGTCCGTATGGTTCAATCAGACGGTCCGTATTCTTAACGCAGCATTCCAGGGTCTGGTGACTCCAATTATTCAACTCAAGGCCCTCGGACACGGAAGTTGTGAGAATGCGATGGGGACCACCGATTGGATAGGAGGTCTTCAGACTTTCTGGCCTTGATGACGTGGCCATAAGATGATGTCACTCCCATTTGAATCCAGAGAGAAATAGCGTGCGTCCGGCTCCATGATAAGAGGGGGTAGAAAAGCAATGGTGGCAATCCTGTATAGGCTTATGGGTATAGTTCAGTTTAAAGTGTTTAATATTTTTTTATTTATAAAAAATTATTTTTAAGATTATAATATTAAAATAATTTAAAAATAAAAAAAAAATTAATTTAAAATAAAAAAAAATTAATCTTTCTCAAAAATATTTTTAAAATATAATCCTAAACACACCTGCTATAGGATTTTCTAGAAGTTGCGTAATGTAGTTATAGTTGATAAACTCGTTTTAATTTAAGAAAGTTTATCATGTTAGACTAACGTAAGTTAGATTTTACATTAAATTGAAAAGGTTATTAAATTGGTGAGATTCGTTTGATTTAGTTGTGTACATTCGTAATCCGATTGCCTTGTTTTGAGCTTGGTGATGTCAGTTCAAAAATTAAAAAAATATATATATATAATTTTAATAAAAATAATTAACTCAATAAACTATAAAGTAACCAAAAACATATTTTTTTTCTAAATCAGTTATCCAAATCATATCTATGAAATATGTATTTAATATTATAATGTATAATATTTTTTAAAAATATTTTTTATTCAAAAATAAATCAAAATAATTATTTTTTATATTAATAAGTTTAAAGCATATAAAAATATTAAATTGATATTTTTTTAAGCCAAAAATATTTTTAAAGCGCATTCAAAAAAATAATTCTAATTGCAAAATCAAACGGTACTAAACTAATGACAACAGGTGGTCTTCTCCTATCTCTTCGGGTAAAATTTTAGGTGGTGGTCAAGTGGTAAAGACTTGGGATCAAGAGATTTGTTCTCTCTGTGGTCTCAGGTTCGAATCCTTGGTTGCTCATATAATGGCCACTGGAGGCTTACATGGTCGTTAAATTCAGGCCTCGTGGGATTAGTCGTGGTGCATGCAAGCTAGCCCAGACACCCACATTAATAAATAAATAAATAAATAAAATATGTGAATGAGGACTATTTGTTTTTCAGGTTGCATCATGTATGAAACCTTGAATTTAGATTCAAGTGAAAAGCATAAAAAGCAAATATACATTAACGAAAAATATACAGGGCATGGTTTTTCACCATAGCACTAAACACGAGTTGTTGTGATTTATTACAGTGAAATTATTGTTTTGCTCATCGATTGAAAAAATGGAAGCCTTGATGTCGGAGGCAACTTTATCTTTTTCAATAGCTCACTGATCGGTCAAAAACATTTTAACAGTATATTCATATTAAAAAGAAAAAAAGAAAAAACAATAACAGTTAAATGACGGGTTTACCCTTGAGGTTAAAAAATTATAGCACCAGAGGTTTTTTAATTTTCTTTTAGAATAAAATAAAAGGATATATTTACCTGAGAAAAAAAGGCATGCAATTAGGGGTATTCTTATCTTTTCATATAATTTTTTTTTTGTAATCTCATGTTTATGAAGGATATTTTGGTTTTTTTGTTGGCTAATTAATTTTCTATTCAAAAAAATTATTGGTGTGAACTCATTATATGCTAATATATAAGTGTCATCTATGTTGTTTACATGGCACATGCGATACCTTCTAGTGAGATTTGTTTTTTTATTATGTTGTTAGATATATCCTTGTGTATCTTGTAAATTTGTTAATAAAATAATTTTTAATTGAAAAATAATAATAAAAAATTCAAATAAACTAATGCATGATGTTATGTGCAAAAAAATATTAATCACTAATGTATAATGACATTCATTTGACCAAAAATAGTGAAAACTATTATGAACATTTTATTATGATTATGGATGGGAGTTCCTGATGAATTTCGTTACAAAATCTTGATAATTTAAGTAAATAAAATAGTAATTAAATTTAAATTTTTAGTATAAAATTACTTATTATTTGATTTTATGGTATCATGTATAATTTTCAATCTAATAATTAGATCTTATTGATTTTTATAACAAATTTCTTGATATATTATTCTATCACGGGTTAAATTTTCAAGTATCCTAAAGCTGGGAAAGCCTTATTAGTGCCAATTATTGCATAAAAATATGGAAAAGAATATTAAGACAATTAGTAATGGCATTGTTATAGATAAGTCAAAAAAATCTCATCTATGTAAAAAAAATAAAGCAAAAATATTCTCATTTTTCTTATAAAATTATGATTTTTCTTCCAAGCTAGAGGTTTAAAGAGTGTTGGAGAGTAAAAAGGGCCAACAGAAAGCACCAAAAAAGCAATTTTAAAGAGGGAATAAGGTTTGGGAAGTTGGGTTGTAAAGGGAAAAAGTTTAATTCAAAAATGGAGAAAGGAAAAATGGATAAAATGGATAAAATGGCTAAAAGAAACCACTCAACCTTGCTATGGAAGTCATGGGAAAGTGGTTTTGACACTTAATTTTTCTTTTTTCCTTCTCTGTTGATTTGTGAAGAAAATTACATAAATTAATGTGTGGCATGAAGGGTTAAGGTTAAATAAGTTAATGACGGTATAATTCTTTATTTGAATGATGAAAAATAACTTTAAATTATGTGTTTGATATATGCAAGCACGCCAAAAAAGATAAAAAATTTCTTAATGGTGAAATTCTCTATTGAGCTAAAATGGGTATCAATAAAGTGAGAAATTATGCTGGAGTGTGTTAAATTAGTTATTAAACTATGTAATACATGTTGTTTAGAGTAAAATAAATTAATAAAAAAAAGTTTACGGGTTTGTGTTGGTGGGTTCAAACAACAAAAGGTAAAAGAGAATTTGAAAATTTTTGAATAAAAAAAATGATTATGTTGAATACCCTAAAAAAATTGGCACCTCATTAATTATTATTAATTTAAGTACTCCTATATATTTTTTATTTGTTTAAATGTTTAATCGCTCTATAAGGAGATATATATATATAAAATTATATTGAAAAGTTTGCCGGGAATGATTATTAGTCATCCATATGAGCGGAGGCTAATTATATTAGTTCTACTAATATTGATAATGATTAGTCATCCATGCAATCTATCAAATTGGAGACTAATGATATCAGTTTTACTAACATCAATATTTATTACTTATTCACATGAATAGAGATTAATAATATTAGTTATGCTAACACCTTCAATGACTATTTATCAATGTAATTAGAGACTAATGATATTCATTCTATGAATATAAATATTGATCAGTTATCCTTACGAGTGGAGGTTAATGATATTAATTTTACTAATATCATAACTAATTATTAGCATGTCATGAGGTGAAGACCAGTGAATAAGATTGCGGATATGTATATATACTCGTATAACATGTCTTTAGGGAAATAATCAAATATCAAGTAAAGAATAAACTCTAGTGATGAGGGTTAGATAAAAATCTTTAAAAATAAAATAAAATAAAAACAAATGGATTTGAAGAATGAATAACTGTAAGATTAAGATTAGAATAAGAAGGAAAATAAAAAACTTACACGTACATTGGATATATACAATGTGCATCTTAAAATACTTTTTATTGATTATTTAATGTAGTGAGCTTTTTCAAAACGACGTTATACATTTTTTTATATTAAAAATACATTATATATATATAGTTTTTTAAAAAGAAAACTATGACCGGCGGTGAAAAGCGGTTAAAACAATTAGTTTTTTTATTAGAAGGCGAGCGTGAACATGAGCGGGTGCTGAATGTTGATAGCAGATGGGGGTTTCTTAGCAGAGGCAAGCCACGTGGGAAAACTAAGTACGATCCATTCGCTGAATGTGAACAGTGGTTGTTGAAAAAGCTTGTATCTGCTGGTGGTGGCCTGGCCTCGGATCTCGATATCGCCACATGAGGGTAAAACCGGGGCAATCAATGGACGAGGAACCTAATCAAAATCTATTGGGTGTGTGGGTGTAGTTTTGTAATTAGCCCAAAAATGAAACCCTGCCGCATCAAACGAGCGTGGATTTTTTCATGCTGATCCATCTGGGTTTTTTTAAGTATATTAATTGCGATTGCTGGTAGTTTTTTTTTTTTTTTAGGGTCCAGCTGGCACGGAAATGTTTAAATTTGAAGAAAACATC